CATCATTCTAAAAGATTGTCTATGAATATGGTCGATATAAAACCAATGGAAATGGACCAACTGAACTGAACAATTTGAAAGGCCCAAAATAACTAACAATAGGACTCCATGGTTTATTTTAACAGAGAATAGAGAAAGAATGATAATGAGTGATGTACGCGATTAAAATAAAAGTTGGGATGTATAAGTCGAACAAAAGAATATCCTCAGGTTATCGATCCCCATAACCTTCTTCTGCTTTAGTTCTGCCAACAACTTTAAAAATTCTAAACCCATACTTCAAAAGGTTGTCAGTGAGATGGTTAGATGAGACCTAGGTACAAAGCTTCTATTTAATAAAATTGAAGAGTATGAAAATCATTGCAAAACACTTCTGCTTTTCTTCGGATGTGTTTACCTTAGGATAAAAAAATATGGTGAAACATATTGAACTCTAAATTGTGGATACAAAAACATAAACAACAACCATATACAGATGAAAGAGTTTCAAGGAAGACAATGTTAATTCTGGATTATGATAAAAGTTCAAGATCAATATGTAAAACACGCCCCTTGATAAATATCAAAGCACTTTTTCAAAATCAAAATCAAAATCACCCCCTCTAATTTTTCGATTTTGATTAAATGGCACAAGAATCTCAAGCAAAAGTTGCAAGTTACAAACACCAAAAGTGATTTTCTCACCTGAAAGTGGAGAATCATTTTTTTTTTTTTACTTAATCTTTAGCGAACACTCACAACAAAAAGCTAGTTGTGACTGATGCCCATAAAAGCCTCAATCTGAATTTTCCATTATGTCTCTAGAGAACAATGAGTGAATTTTCCATTATGTCTCTAGAGAACAATGAGTTCATTTTCAGACAAGTATAATGGCATTCTGGAAACTTCACAAGTCAACAAAATGAATGTAAGCTGTTGACGAGTTAAGATCAACATCTGCAGCGTTTGCTCAAAATTAAGCTAAAACAGCCTTATCCTTCTGACATCAAAAGGCATGAAAGTTAATGAATTACTGGAGAGCAAAGAGCGACGGTATCCTCACAACCTTGGAAATAAGTGTATAGGTGCAGAAAATGAGAATCGAGTAGCATATTAAAGAAGTGACCTTTTACGACTAGCTGGCACATGGAACCAACTATAGCAGCAACAGAAGAGCTATCTGCTCCACCTGAAAGTGGAAGTAAAAAACCAGAAGCACCACTTCTTCTCAAGTAATCCCACAACCAGCACCCTGGCCCATAAGCTATTTCCTCCTCAGGTAAATGATAGTGAACCTGAGAGAAAAGAACTCCAACGATGACAAGGTTTTATTTTAGTAGAAAAAGCTAAAGGTTAGTGGAAAACTGATTGACAAAGCCACATGTAAAGTTAAGCGAGCCATCTCCCATTATGATGTCCTTTCTTTGTTCTCTAAAAAGGGGGGATGCATGCACGCTATTGTAATTACACCTTATCTTTATTTTTTACTAGTGCATAACCCGAGAGACGAACGGGGCACATAGTATTAAAAATAAAAAATGTAAATATTTTATACATAAATCATGCTCATTCAAATAAAACAGTAAAATACAATACTTGTAACCAATCAAAAATATTAAATGAACGTGAGGAGTTAACATTATTGAGTATCTTTAATGTCCACAACACTTATTGTTTAGTTGTTATACACTAAATTCTCAAACATTTCCAATTAGTGATGCAAGATACATCCACACATTGTTGTCTATGAATAAAAACCTCATTAGTCAGCGACCCTGAGTTCAAGACTTTTTATAAGATATTAGAAATACATTTTCTTGCACTTTATTTTAATGACTATTACATATACTATACAGAGAATTTAAAGCTCATAACTATCTTCATTTTAAACTTAATTAGTTTTATATATCAAATTTGCTAGCGGGATGACATTCTCATTCTTCCTCCGGTCACACCCAACCAAACATTAGCAACAAGCAACACAATGTCATCGACAGACAAGGGTGATGACATTGTCCCTACCGCCTTTATAGATGCAAACCCCCAGAGAATTCGACCTAATTTTAGTTTTCGTCATCTTCATGGATTAATGTAATACCAAGTTTTTCAATTCAATAGAATACGAAAGAGTTCAATCTATTCAAACAATCTATAACTATATAAAAAGATAACTTATTCCTAAAAATAGTAGCAAAAAAAGACCGCCAACATTTAGTGCACTCTAAAGATAGCAACTTTTTATTTTTATTTTTAATTACCTAGAATACAGGGTAGATAATTTTGGATTCAAATCTTAGCTGAATTTTGGATATAGTTATATGTTAATCACTGAAATAGTATTAGAAGTGTACATGTATGTGTGTGTGTGTGTATATATATTAAGAAATTTTCAAACTTTGATTTATTTCTTTTTTAATTTTCATATCGTTGATTTTTTTTTATTAAGTATCAATTCCATCACTTTATTAAATACATGAAATCCTTTTTATATATTATTCATTTTGTGTTTATAATATTAAATTAACCTTTGTTTTAAAAGCTTTGACTCGACACTCACATTGTATGCATAAATAAAAAATATATATATATTTTTTTAAAGCACTATTAAGTTTATTAGCTCATTGCACATATAGAAGAAATAAAATTTACTGTTAATAAGTAATTATCTCTCATAGATTTAGAAATTTAGTGAAAAAAAAATAAAAATATTAGTAAATATTTTTAAATACCACACGTGGGTTACTGGGCATACGAGTTTGATGTAGCCCATTTGATATCTTCGTATCCGAGAATCCACAAATTCGACCCCGCATTGTTCAAAAACCTCCGGGTCTTCTTTTTCATCTCCGATTTCTCGATACTTGCCACAAGCACAAATTCCACTTTTGAATCGGCCCAAAAATTCTTTCACAAAATAATCCATCTTTTTCTGGTTGATTGGTTTTGTAATGAAAACAATAGGGTTTTGTCACCTCTCTAACTACTTCTCCATTAGGCAGGATTTTGGTGGCCCAGGCACTTATTTGTTGAGGGGAAACTAATCCAATTTGATGGTTATATAGATCGATCATATAAGAAAAATTCTGTTTTATTCCGATTAAGCTTCCTTCCTATTAATCTGAAGTTTTTCTCAGATACAAGGCAATGGTTCAGTTCCAGAGCTAAAGATCGTAGTTCTCGAACGAGCAATCGAAACGATTCTGGAGCATCCTCGGGCTTGGGTTTTGTTCCTCCAAAGATCGTAGTACCAACTACTTTTTGGCGCGTTCTAATATGATCCGATTTATAAGTAAGCATCTCTTGTAAAATATGAGCAACATCAAATCCTTCTAGAGCCCAAACCACCAATTCCCCTACTCGTTGTCCTCCCCGGTTTGCCCTTCCCTTAAGGGGTTGTTGTGTTACTCGCGCATAAGGTCCATTGGAACGTCCATGGATTTTATCATCAACTTGGTGAATTAATTTCAAGATATAAGGCTTTCCTATTATAACGGGTTGTTCGAAAGGATTCTCCGTCCTTCCATCAAATATTCTGCTTTTTCCTGGATATTCGGGTTCAAATACCCAAGGATTTGCTGTTTGCTTACTGGCTTCGTATAATTCCGAAAACACTAGTTTTCTGGAAGCTTCTTGTTCATATCTCTCATCAAAAGGCGCTATTCGATAATGTCTGTCTAGTAAACCCCAGCGAACCCGAGCGAACGTTCAAATATCTATCCTACGTTCATTCGTGAAGGGATTCCTAATGGATTGAAAACCATTAAGTTTATTAGCTAACTGCACATATAGAAGAAATAAAATTTACTATTTAATAATTATTTAAAATAAAAATTAGTCTCAATTTATTCAAACAATTAAATATAATTGTATATATAATAAAATGTATTAATAAGTAATTATCTCTCATAGATTTAGAAATTTAGTAAAAAAATAAAAATATTTGTAAATATTAATTTCGCTAATCAAGTATAATCGATATTGATATTAAAATGACAAACTAACGGCTCATTTGTCGAAGCCAAGTAAATTATCAGACATAAGTAAATCCTTCTGATAGAGTTCTATTTAGGTTCCAGTGGTAGCAGTTCCAACTTATGGTTTCTTATGCCCCGACCATAAACAAGAGTTAGGGACTACCTGTATCGCATAGTCACGACCAATTATATGTTGTTGTTTTGCGTGTAAGTACTAGAAAGTGGTTGAAAATATTATTTTATGGGGACGACAAGTTGTCAAGTATCAAATTAATAATGTCGTAGACAAGAAAATTTTAATAATTTACAAATTTTTCATTACGAACATTTCATGGTTTGACAAATTCTCTAATCTTTTATAATATTCTCCAAAGTAAATACAGTACGTGCATCGCACGGGTTACGCACTAGTTCTCTTAGGAATTCAGTGAACTGCAAAGTAACATTTCAAACTTATTCCAACGACCAGTACAGGGATTTTGGTCCATACGTTAGCTCCAAAATATATTACAAATGGTTAAAAAAACAATTATAGTGTTTCCAGCAATTTTTTGCTTAACACCCCTGTTGTCTCACCTTAATTGGACTTGAAAGTAACATCTGGAGCTTAAAAGACTCACACAGCTTGTGAGGTACTAAAACGGAGGGAACTTCTTTTTTGCAACTGGCTTGTTCCTGAAAGCTACTAATTGATCCTCGGAAACTGGCCACCTGCAATCAGACGTATAAAGTAAAATGCAGCATATAAAACTTTTTTCATAACCACCATGGATAACATACTATGCTAAAGTAAATTTATGTATGTTCTCAATCCTTGCCCCTTGCTATATGACAGGAAAATAACTAACTCATGATGACAGACGAGTGAAACTGAAACATATCATAAATTTCAAATCGGTGAGAAGTTACATTAACACCACTTAAAACTACACAAAAAGAAATTGGAGGAACACTATTTCCTTCCAGAGATCTGTACAGAGAATGCAGTAATTCACTCAACATTAGTACTGTAACAAGCTAAATATTCTAAAAAAAGCTAAATATTCTTACAAACACAAAGCCCGTACAAGTAACTGATACATAACATACCGCATCTAGATCTACTTGAGCAACCACCAACTCCACGTCCTTCAGTGAGAACTGTGAGCCCTGAGCAACAACATCTCCATTCACCACAATACAAGAGCATCCATCTACATAAGAAAAATAAGCAAAACAAGACATTCCGGAAACATCATGCATTTTCACCACAAGGTAAATACAATTCGAAAATACCATTTAGTCATAACTTAGTTTCAGCAAATGTTGTTTGCACTACATATGACTATCTCTAACATTACGAGTGGTATTCCAATAATCCAATTACATAACAAGCTAGTAAATATTTTAAGCCTTTTAACCAAATATTATTACTAAAAATGTAAAAAGAGACTAAAAGGAATTAAGAATTCTGTAAATCCACAACTAAGTATTCAGATGAAAAGCGAACACCCATTTTGAAGTTAGGAAATTTAGTTACAAAGTTAATAGTCTAATTGAAATTCTAAAATGCGTGTCTTGTTGATATGTTTAATGAACCACTAGCATCAGCGACTTTATTCAGTGATCTCGATACCCAGATGTGTTGAGGAATGAGATAAGTCTCAAAGATATATCAAAACAAAAGAATATTCTGGACTACAGAAAAACAACTTAGACCAAGCTACTAACCGTAATATAGGCGCCCCCCATCACATCCTTGGTGATTGCTGTACATGTAAACTCCTCCACGGATATGTGTAGCACCGACAAAAGCACGCATACGAAGATCGAGTTTCCGTAATTGATGATGGCTCCCACTAGCATTCATGAAAACTTCAACACCGTTCAAGGCAAGCTCTGCATGAGGGGCCATAGGACTGAAAAGTTCCTCACACACTTCTGCTGCAACAGCTCTACGTGAAACACATACTTTGAGCATTAGAAATCATGCAGTCGGGCAGTTTAAAGTTCAATCAAACCCAAATGAGTCAGAATTGTCATGAACTCGTGATTCTAACAAAACAATGACAAAGCCAATATCGCATGATGTACACCAACTCAAAGTGACTTGATAAACTATAATACATTGGCAACAACAACAGAGATAGGTATATTAATATATCTAAATTACAACTCCTCAACTTTATGAGCAATAGTAATACTGGAACATCTATAAGCTACCTCTTTACGACCTATAAAATCCTGTACGACCAACCATATTGCTTTTGCACCTTTAAAAATTTAGAAAACGGAGAGATAGATTTCAATATCAAAACAACAGTTTAAGATGAGAGTGAACGTTAGAATAATAGTGGAAGTGATCGGCGCAACGGTTTAAAATAATTATATTTGCAAGAGATGATGGCATACGTATCAAGAAACTGAATAAACCCATAGCCGAAAGGCACTGTCCTTTGCGACAGATCATCAGATATTTCACTTGGCAGAAGAAAGTCTTCAAGATGCTCTTTTTGCTTCCATGCAGTAAACCATCTGAGTTCCCTGTAGTTACCATCATTCGCAAGCCACATCTTAGGGCGTATCAACAGTATTTTCCTATTCAAGCACAGCACTTGACAGTTGTAACGTTCTGATCCTTTGATAACAGGCATACCGAAACTGCACAGTATGCCATCTGTCCAGTCACCAAGCAATAACTCTTTTAAGCAGTCCCAGCTGCAAATTTCATAACATGATATATTTATTCAGAGAGAAAGAGCGTAATTAAGGCAAAATGAAAATCGAAGGTATAGCCTATTTGATGGATAAAATCTCTGACAACAAAGAGATTCCCTTCCTGCCAGGAAAGGTCTCATATTTCAAATTTTTAGTTCATGCACACGCAAACATGAATCAAGCAATGGTACGTGATTATCTATTCAACTCAAGATAATTGTTTGCATTCTATGAATGCCAAAAACAAATAATTGCACACACACACATACACACACAAACATATGTGCCATTCAACTCAAGATAATTGTTTGTATCCATCAGAACTTCCTAGTAAACCTCACACTAAAATCGTCAACCGGACAGTGCTCAATTATGCATACATGACATTCACTTAAGCAAGATTGATGTATGTAGAACTGTAGGCTTACGCATGGTTGACCGTGTCAAGTTCCAAGAAATGGTCTTCACAGCCATAGCCAGTGATTTCAAGCTCGGGACCCAGCCGAATAACGGCACCCGCTTCCTTAGACCTCAAAATGGACTCCTTTATATTTTTCATGTTGCAATCGAAGTCCATTGCCCATTGATTCAAGTTGCATGTCGCTACCTTCAGAAGCCTCATATTCTTAATGCCATGCAATTCACACACTTCCCAAAATCAGCAAATCAGTTAACCATCGCAAAAAAGTAAAAAAAAAAAAAAAAAAAAAGTTAAAAAAAAAGTCAATCTTCAGCGCGAGGACGGCGAATTTGATGCTAAAAATATCAATCTTCATGCACTTGTAGGGTAATAAAGTTCAACTCTCGCCAAAGAACCCGGCGGCCCTAAAGGTGGGGATATGCATAAACAGAAGTCATAAGAAAAACATCTATGTCCATCTTTAATCTAGCATGGATGAATTGTCGATGACATCTTAGCAACGTAACCTCCACCCTTTCCCTACATAGAATCCAAATTCCCTCTTTAAAACCTTCAGCCTCCACCAGAAATGATCGACAAAAACCACTTCGTTGGATGAAATCATCAGCCTCTTTGCCACTGAATTTGGGCTCCAAAAGAGCCACAACTTCAGGTTTATACCTATAATAATAGTAGAGAAAGCTCACTCAGAAGCTCCTTGAACAGTCCATTTCATTAGAATCACTTACAAAATGTTAGAGGGAAAGGGTGACCACCGTCAAAAAGGGGCTGAAACATTCCTTTCTCACTCGTCTTCCATATCACACGATAAGTCCTCATCAACGTGGCCTTTCGGTTTAGACAACAAAAGATCCTTATGATTAACGGTCGACGAACCATCCAACATCATATCCGCACTTTGGTTTTCAAGAAAACCTTCCGGGCTCGAGGCATTGTTGTCATTGAAAATGGAGTTGTCTAGCACGTGGACAACACTAGGTTAGTGGGGTCCGAATCAGAAGCCGCCCAAATCACAGTTTGTCCTCGAGAACTTAGAGATTCCGGCTAGTCGTCATTGGGCACGAGCCTGGCTATTCGATTTGATTTTCCCACACTCACCCCATTATCCTCCTTCTAGACTGCCACTACCGTTTCTGCATTAGGCTGAGGCTCCATACTATTACTCACCCATCCCACCTTCTTCAAACCCACCTCCTTATTTGTCGTAACCCGCCACTCCTCCTTCGACCTGGCTAATCCCTTACCCTTATCATTTCTGAAAACATTAATGCTCTCCACTCGTTCCTCCCATTCCATTTGGAGTTCCTCAATTCCCTCCTCAGCATCCCCATTCATCAAATTTAAAGCTTCATAACGGGGACCACTTGCAATATTAGCGGAATTTGGTTTTGGTAGTGATGCTGAATCCCGCTAGTTATTAGCTACTGATCCTCTATCCTTTTTTTTTTCTTTTTTCACCGCAATCCACTCACCATTTTCCATCGGGGCCACCACATTTCTCTTCCGACCACCGACAGCAAAGCTACCAGTTCCATCAACTCCTCCCCCACCGTTCTTCTCAGATTGATTAACCGGACTCGACCGAGTAGGGCAAATTGTGCTCAGATAGCCATACAGATCACATGATAAATATATATCGCGCAAATTCTCGTATTCTATTTTTTGCGGCCTACCCATAATTCGGAATTCCGTCATCAAAGGCTTTGTGAGATCAATTTGTACCGCTAGCCTCGCGAACCTCCCCTTTGTCTGTGGCAGTTTGACAATCAATTTATAACACTTCACCCACGATGTCCCCAATCCTCCTAAAAACCTTCCTGTGATATATGTAAGATGGCATCCTTGGTAAACTAATCCATGCAACAATGGATGTCATTTGATCTACATTCTCATTGAACTCCTGACTCCAAGGTGCACGTGAAGGTAGGTTCTGTTCACCACCCACAAGAGCCTTAGCTGCATCCTCATTCGTATTGAAACGAACTGAAAAATACCATTTTCATGATCTTATTGAGCATCCTTGGACCCAGGGCCAAATTTGTCGAAGCCTGTTATACAATGCAAACATCCCAAGGGTCTACGTGAACCCAGTTACTTGATACCGAGCACAATGCGCCAAGAATTGAACCAATCAACGTAAAATGAGTCCATAAGCTTCAAATTTGGCCCGTCAGGACCATATTCTATGATTACATCATCGTCAGATCCCTCCCCTTCATCCTCCACGTCCGATAACACCACATGGGTACGATCTTTCTCCACCAGATCGCGCCAGGATTTCTTCGATGGTAATCCTTGACCATCAATGCCCCCCGTGTTTGATGGCAGTACCCAAGGGGGTTTCTGACTGTAGGGGCTCCTCCTGTGATGCGAAAGAACATCACGCTTAGAGTATTTTCCATTCACTAACGGGAAACCGCGTCTTTGAGCACCGGGAACTCCACCGAATTCCAATCTGGGGGATTGGCTTTAGTGTTGAGATTAGGGTCCGTCAACCCATGGTTAGGGTTGAGATTAGAATCCGCCATCTCATCTTGGACAAATGATCGAACACCTTAATGGCATAATAATTGTGCCCGACGCTGGATAGAATGATCTAACAACTTGTCGCTAGCTTACACTTCTGTCACTACTGATCACTTTCAGCACCTATAAAAGCAGAATTATGTATCTACTAACCTGTGGTGGCCGCGCAGTTGCTGGTGCTTGAACTGGTGGTGGTGCGAGGAGTTCCAGTACTTGATGTGTGTTAGTGGACTGCGACGCGCTTTGCGTGGTGTATCGGGTGAGCTTGGCGATCAATTGCAATGGCCGCAGCTCCGAAAAAAACGAAGAAATCTGTTAGCCACTCTCCCACAGCTGCCGGAGATTCAGCCGCCTACGTCGTCCACCGTGAGAATGCTTCCGCCGCTGATTGAGGCGTTCCGTCTACCGCCGAAGATCCGATCAATTCCGATTTTATTATTTAAATCAAAAAAAATATTTAATTGAAAAAAAAAAGTCAATCAAAATAAAATAGACGTACTCTCAGAATACGTTTTACAAATACGTTTTACTATTCTGGGAATACGTTTTGAAACGAATTAAAATTATATACGTGATTAAGTTAATTAAATTAATATAAAACATGATTAAAAAAGTTAAATCAAATTAACTCTTGAACCAGCGCCTTTCGCCTTTGAAAGCGGGGACCCCAAGAAATAAGCCAACGCTTGTCTCTTCTTCTTCTTCTATCCGGAATTGAACTATCTAATAAGGCTGATCTACGGCAGGTTCGAATCCTGTTTCCGCTATTCGTACTGTTTTCTTGACGTGGTTCAGCCATCAATCGTGGGGCTGGCTGAGCTGGCCTATCCTCTCTTCACCAAGAAAGTAGGGAAAAAGCAAAGACTTCTCTTCAACGAGCTGCGGCTTTACCGAAGGACCACGAAAAGCGGGCTCATCGCTTCCTCTGGCTGTTCATCTGAATCATAACAAGAAGTTGGGGTAGCCGGCAGTCCTCCTATGAAATGATGGGGAGGGATCTCCTCCAACTGTACTAGCTGTCTGGTATGCTTTGTATAGTGACCTCTGGTCGCCTTGCTGAACTGAAGGGCGCCCGATCGGAACACCTTCTTTGCAGTTCTTATTAGAAGTGGGCTTTGCTTGGCGGTATGCCAGTTGGGCCCTAAGTCCCACGAAAGCAAACTCTTCTTGCTAACAGAAGAAGCTTTCCTCGTAGGCCTTCGAGTTGAAACCACCTTTCGCTCGGTAGAGAACACCAATCAAATCTAAGCGATTTCCTTTATCAGACCTGGGCATAAGAGGTCTCTTTCCCGTGCTTGAGGAAGCGTTACATTGAGAACCCCAACTCCAGCAAACAAGAAAAAATCATTCGAGAGCCCTCGTACCTCGTCTAGACCGGAAAGAAAGAACCCCAAATTTGAGACATCATGTGTCACCACGTACGGAATCTAGACAGTTCTTCTCGTTGAGATAGACCCTACTGGGAATCCCTTCTCTCGGACTTCAAACCGAAGCTAATAGAAGAAGAATTTTTCTGACGCAGGCCCATTGCATCAAACCCCCTTCTATCCCTTCCCTTTGTGGTATGGAAAGATCGTATTCCAACTGGTCGCAACTGGAGTTCGTTCCGCCTCTAAGGCTCATATTTGGATCGGTCGGCTGTTAACCGATTGGTCGTAGGTTCGAATCCTACTTGGGGAGATTTGATTCATTCTGAATTAACGAATTCAGACTAAAGGGGCTCACTTTGACCGTTAAGGGTAGGTTTGGTTTGGAAGGCCCCGTTGCTTTCTATTTGAAAGCGGATTCTTTTTTTTTTCTTTGATGCAGCAATCCCAAAGTTTCTTCTGACTTTCTCAAACCTGCTTTTTTTTAGCCCACAAATGGGATTTTTCTTTCAAGAGCATTTCCGACATTCCGAGTCCATTGATGACCATGTCAAGCACTTGCGGTGTGTGCTTGATAAATTGAGGGAAAGTAAGCTGTATGCTAAAAAGGAGCACTTTCCAACCATTCGAATGAATTGTGAGATCGGGTAGGGACCACAAGACAAAATAAATGGAAAGCGTACCGGATGCCGGGAGAAACTGATCTTTCAACTGACTCTTCAATGCATTTGCTTAACAGTATAAATTCGGTGTTCAGGTTGGAGCGAAAGCTAGAGGAAAGGGCCTTCTATTATCGTTAACAATCAAGCTTGCGGTCGTAGGATAACATCGGTATGGGACACGGGGACACGGAGAAGCAGTTAAAAGAGCTAGTCCTGTCAACAAAGGTATATCCTCATCATCAGGACAGAACGAGACTCCCTCGTTATACTTGACGAGCTCAAGATTCATGAAGTCATAGAAGAGGCAGCTAATCCGACCAAGTAAGTCAGCTAGTCCGAACCACAAGTGGATTTCGGTCATTGATTACTATTCCTTCGTTGCCTGCCCATCTTCTCAGCTCAAACCAACAAGAATGCCGAGGGGATCTGCCCGGCCCGAATTGAGCTCCTAAACCCATAACTATGGATAAATCTTTCAACTAACTTATGCCCGAATCTTGCCAGCAGGATCTTTGATCAGCGGAGCCGGTCTTACCCGTCCGCCCAGGAGTTTGGAAATCGATCGAACGAGTTCACATACTTTAGCTAGTGGCTTCAACTAACCACCTGAGTAAGAAAGGAATAGATTTACGCAAATAGAGAATCT